ATAGGATGTACACAAGATTTATACAGTTGCGTGTTACATGATCCTACCATTGGTCTTTATTTTGAGCACCAAGCCATTAAGTATATCCTTTTTTTTCATGCTCCGCAAGTGAAATCATCATCAGCATAAAGTAGTAATCATCTACTTAATAACCAGTTTACCAGATTTTAACTGAAAAACTAAATCATGAACAAAAACACAGACAGTGTTGGCTGTTGCTTGCCTCCCACAAAACTGTTGGAGATACCATCCTGTTCTAATTCAAGAGATTTTCTGCTCATCTACTTACAAACCTATCTTCAAGATGATATACAAATCTGGGATTTGGGATTTATAAAATCTTCATTAAATAATTGGGGAAAAGATGCAGGGATGGTTTTAGATGAAAACACACAGTTAAACATCTGTGAAAGAACACATTTCTCATTTAAAAGTAACAAAATCATGGAAACAAATTTTAAGTTTATCCATAAATTCTATTTCACTCCTATAAAGATGCATAAATTTCCAAAGATAACTCACCAAAACGTAAGATTTATGCATCTGTTTTGGAAACGCAATCTGCTGACAAATGTCTGGAAATTGATACATTCCTTTACTAAATCAGTTTTGGAAATTGAATTTGAATTCAACCTATGTCTCTACTTAATAAATGATATGTCTTTTTTCATTTAGATTAAAAAAATGCAGAGTATGAATTACTGTAACATATTTTGCAACACAATGCATAGTTCTTTGGAAAAATCAATCTCCTCCAAAATATCACAATTTTTACCTCGGAGAGACTAACTCTCGAAAACTATGACTATAGTAATAATTTTCAGGACCTTTGGTTCCAATTATTTTCTTGCTTGGGAAACCTCAAGAGGTGATCATTAATAAACCTGGACAATTTCTGGCTGTGACACCAGGAATTAAGAACATATAATGATCCCATTACTTAGAATTTTGTTGCTGCTTTTGTATGCATATGTATAGTATGTATATGTGAATGTGTGTCTATGTATGTGCACGTATGTATGTATGTATGTATGTATGTATACAGATACACATTTTATTTTTTGCTCTTGTTTTCTTTTTAATATTTGTTTTGTGTTTGTCAGTTTACTGGGTAGGGATGGGAAGATAAGATGATACTCAGTGTAATTTATGTTCATATGCTCAGCCATTGGTGATTGCTCATTACTGTACACTCTTCTGAAATAAAATGATGAGGAAAGAATTTTTTCTTGGACAAGCAGTCAAGTCCAACTTCAAAAAATAAATAAATAATAAATAAACCCTGGTTCTGTTCACTTTTTAACAGGTGGGGGTGTATAACTGGAAAAATTTAGGTTTCAAACTTTATTAGGGTTTCTGCCCCTGAACACATTTAGTCACAGATTATTTCTTAAATGATTTGAGAAATTAAAGGAATCTAATTTTCCTGATTTAATCTTTTTTTTTCACAAAGTAAAATCTAAACTAACAACAGTACAGCCACAAATTCTATCTTTACGAAGACAGCATGATGATAGCAGACAATGATTTAACCACATGTTTATTATTGTGGTTTTAGTCATGTTTACGTGGACTGCATTACGTTACCTGTAAAACACTGTTTAAGTGTTTTAATGATATCAACACCGTCTCCAAAAGATTTTTTATGGCCCAAGCATTGACCCTGCTGAAATCACTATGTTTATTATTATTATTATAATTTTTTGACCAGTTCCCTCGTCAAAAAGCCTATGGGATTTTTCCATTGGATTTTGAATTATTGCAGAAAATAAGCACTGTGGCAAACAAATGTTTATGATTCTTACATGTTTTGTTCAGCAAGATAATCTTCATAGATGAACACCCCTTTCATCATTATTGAACCCTACATGCAATTGGCAGATTTAAAAAGCTAAAGTAAAAAATGTACTACACTATGACCTAACGTCACCACTTTAACAAGACTATAAAGCCGTGTTCGGCATGGCTCGGCATGATGACGTCCTGTGGTTTCATTTATCCACTTGTTGGCTTGTGTTTTTTAAAATACGTACAGGCTTCAAAGTCCATAGTGGTGTGTTTACTGATGTATTCTACATTGGATAACAAAATCTAAGGGTCTCTTACGCTTATATTAACCACAGACCTTATTTCAGACATCTAACCAAAAACCCACTGACTTTGAGACGAGGGGACCGGAAGTGGTAAAATGCTAACTCATGTCTGGGTTTTAGGACTCATTCCTGGCAGAGTCTATTAGGACCTAAGCACTGACCAGAGGTGGTCACGAAAGCCCTACTGAAATCGAAGGAATTATTGTTCTTCTTTGAAATTAATCACATTTTTGAGGACCAAAAGATGCTCATGAAACTTTGCACACAAATCAGAACTAGTAAACAATTCAGTACCTTCTGAGTCTCAGCTCAAATGTGACAAAATGGCTCACTAGCACCCCCTACAACATTTCAATGAAGTAGGGCCTGTGGTACGTTTCAACTGTATGAAAATTGGATGGCTTATGTAACATCCCAAGACGTATGAAGAATTCTCTTGGAGCCGTACCCTAAACTCAACAGGAAGTCTGCCATTTTGAGTTTACTGTGCAATGTTTGTGCATTTTTGGCTATTTACAGGGGTCATACCTTGACGAACTCCACCTAGAGATTTAATCCGATCGATTTCAAACTTTATCTGTACTAGAGTCATTATTGAGTTATAATCATAGTGCTACCTATTGACAACAGGGAATCACATTCCAGACTGCAATGATGACTGCACAATGACCTTTTCATTCTTCCCACCAGTTACTACTGTGTCTTTTTTGACTTCGTCCCCCCCCCCCCCCCCCCCAAGTCAGGATTTTGCACACCACTGTGACCAGGGCCCTATTTCAGAGAGCAGGCTCAACAAAATCTGAGCCTAATGACCGACTGAGCCTGAGCTGGGAAACTCTGAGTTTTCGGTTCCAGAACAGCTGATCAGAATCAGTTCAATCAACTCTGAGTATGTTCAGCCTGAGGGAAGCGCATTTACGGCGAGCACCAAAAGACATCATCAGTAGAGTGCAGATAACATGATTTCTGGCAGAAAGCAGAAAGCCACTTATTTCTTCCCAACTGATTCAGAGATTTTAATGACAGTGAATTAAGACATGAAAAAAAATCTAATACGGCAGCTGCAGCTAAACAGTGTGAGGTGTGATGGGAAAAGATTGCAGAATGTGTTAATAGGTAATGTGAAGTGATGTTATGTAATGTGATGCGTTAAAGTGATAGTTTAGGTTTTTGGACATGAAGTTGTGTGAAACGCTGACCATCTGTAGCTCTGATGTGACGGTGTCACTACTCTCAACGAGCCTCCTGCTCTGAGAAATCGCCAGTAGCTTACCGGAGAAAAAGTAGTTCTGAAGATATAATGGGGACACGTAACCAAAAGGTTTTAAGCTACAAAAAAGTATGCATGTGTTTTGTTAGACTATTTCAATAATTTTAAAACATCCCTGCATTACGTCAGACCTTGCTATCAATTGGGACTATTTTCTGGCCAGTATCACTCTGCCGTGCAGGCCCGCAAGACAGCACGGCAACAGAAATCAATTAGACAGTTCATCACCACGCCGTGCAGGTGCGCAGGATAGCAACGGCTAACGAAAACTTCATCGGCTGTTTCCAACAGAGAACCAGCACTATTATTAGTGAGGAAAAAGATGTACTAGCCCTATATATACCTACTACTACAGCGCGAATACCGGCTCAGGCTCACGACACACCCTCGTCAGCTGCTGTAGGTAAACAGAGGAATACCAAAATGGTGCGAACTTGTGATTTCCCCAGCTGTGGGAATAAAAACATTGCCGGCTCCCAATTCCATCGGTTTCCTGTTACAGATGTAACCCGTAGGCAACTTTGACTTGTGTCAATTGGGATGAACCTCGCTACCAAGCCAGTGAGGGTGAAGCAACTGCGCGTATGTCAAGCTCACTTCAGCTGCCCACAGATCCCGACGGACAGAGAAAACGCAATTTCCGCACTGCTGTGCCCAAAGAGAGATATATTACCTAATACCAGGCTATATAACGATGTCTGTAACTGATTGTCTGTAAAACAAAATGTTTGACTGAACTAATAGCCTGTTGTGTTGTGGAGAGTATTATACGTGGCCTCGTTTTACCGTCGGCATTTAGTTTATCATATTAGGCTAACTGCTAACTGCTAAATCCGTGACATGAGTAATCAATCACATAGAAATGTGAATTCATATGTGATTACGACAAGTCTCTGCTTTGTTCTGGTGGTGGGTTAGCCAAAGTTGCCTACGGGTTACATCTGTAACAGGAAACCGATGGAATTGGGAGCCGGCGATGTTTTTATTCCCACAGCTGGGGAAATCACAAGTTCGCACCATTTTGATATTCCTCTGTTTACCTACAGCAGCTGACGAGGGTGTGTAGATGAAGCAAACCTGCAAGACAGCAGGTTTGCTTCATGGAGTATGTTGCCATAGTAACTGACTCAGGATTTCACTGAACTGGCTTTGTGAAATGGAAAACTCAGAGTTCCTCATCTCAGGCTCAACATACTCAGAGTTTTCATTAATCCTGCTTTCTGAAATAGGGCCCAGCTCATTGAACAGAACCCGGTTAGTTTAAAGACATGAAACGGCGAATTTCTGTAAAAGAAGACACAGAAACATTCTGTGTCTTCTTTTACAGAAATTCGCAACAGCAGAAGCTGCAATAACCTCTGTCCTTATGCAACAGTGAAATCAGATTAGCTGTTTAAATAAGGGGTACAAGATTTATTGCGTTTGTTAAGGTAGTACAGGTTGTTAGATAATGGTTTGAACTGGTGGTCCCAAATCAGCAGGTCATAATCAAACTGCTGTTTGTGCTAGTGACCCATCACAAATATCACTTTTTGTAGCTGCCTGCCTTTAAACCCAGTTACCATCACTGAATGTCTTCCTACAAATGACCCAAACTGGTTCAAATGTGTGTTAAATTAACACAAGGAGAGTACTCCTACTGTTAACCAGGAACGAATTTAATTATGTATTTATCAATTAGAAAACATATTATTTTATCTTTTTATTATACTTACATACATTTATATAGTTACACAGATACATTTTCTGCCAGACTAAATAACTCCATATTTGGTTAAATCAGGGTTAGGGGAATGATTCTCTACTTTGCTGAATTTGGTCCTAATGCTGCTTGATGACCACCAGGTTCTTCAGCATGTCAAAAGAGTTCCCATCAGGCTCCACTGACACCACGCCCTGCTCCTTGTTGTGCACTTTGAGGAAACCGTTTTGGTCCAGACCCACAACCTCAGCCTCCAGTCCATCCTCACTCCAGAGATGCACCCGAGTCCCGCTGAGGTCAGAGCACAGAGAGACACCGTCAAAATTCTGCTTTAAGGTGTTATTATAGGGTAAGAGACTGACGGTGCCGTTGTATAGTCAATATTAGAATTACTATATCATGTTTGTATTCCTCCGCAGACCAGTTAATTTGCTGTTACAGTTCACATCCATGTCTGAGAAAACAGATGCTTCACACACATCTTACCCCCAACGGCACGGATGATCTATACAATGAGCCCATTTTCAAGGTAGGCACTCAAGATTAGTGTCACCAATTCAGTATCTGACTAAATGTCTCCCCCTCTGTTCCTGAGGTATGACATTGAATAATTTTAACTAATTTATTTTTTTTTAATTTTATATACTTAAAATAAATTCAATTTTTCACTCTGTTTGTCAATTACACACAGGTCCGAACACACAAATGCACAAATGGGACCTATACATGCACTAAGTGGAGAGATGTCAGAGTGGGCTGCCCATGACAGGTGCTCCGAGCGGTTGGGGGGTTCGGTGCCTTGCTCAGGGGCACCTCGGCAGTGCCCAGGAGGTGAAGTGGCACCTCTCCAGCTACCAGTCCACGCTCCATATTTTGGTCCGGATGGGAACTTGAACAGGTGACCCTCCAGTTCCCAACCTGGGGGAGCTACTGCCGCCCCCCAAATAATGGCCAGAAAAGTGTTTTTGCATAACATTAGAATGTCACAGTGAAGCTGACCTTTGACCGTTTGGATATAAAATGTCAATACTTCATCATAATATTCTATTACACACTTGTTTATGTTTTGTCTTAATTAGGGCATGTATTCTTGATTTATGGCCAAAAACATGTTTTGTGAGGTCACACTGACCCTGGCCTTTGACCTTTAACCACCACATTCTAATGAGTTTTTTCTTCAGACCAAGTAGATGTTTGTGTCAAATATGAAGAAATTTCCTTATGTTGTTCTTGGGATATCACATTCACAAGAATAAGACAGATGCATGTCCACATTGACCTTGATCTTTGACCACCAAAATCTAATCAGTTCATTGTTGAGTCCAAGTGAACCTTTGTGCCAAATTTGAAAGAAATTCCCTCTAGTCAGTCTTGAGATATCATGTCACGAAAATGCCACAGACGAGGTCAAAGTGATCTTAAGCTTTGACCACCAAATTCTTGACTCAAAGTGGATGTTTGTGCCAAATTTAAAGAACACCAAGGTGCTCTATAGATGTTGCATTCCAGAGAATGAGATAGATGCAAGGTCATGGTGACCTTGACCTTTAAACCCTTAAAGCTGCAGTAGGTAGAAAGCCTGAAAACGGTTGATTTTTGAGTCTCATCTGAGTTAGGTTTCGTTCGTCCCTCCTACCAGACGAGCACGTGAGTATTTTATCCTACTTGGTTCTATTTCTCCCTCTCTGGTAGCCTCGGCTCTCCCTCACCGTGCAGCAGCCCTCCCCATCCCTCCCTTGTGGCCCCGCACATACTCCCGAGCCTCGGCTCTCCCTCACCGTGCAGCAGCCCTCCCCATCCCTCCCTCGCGGACCCGCACATACTCCCGAGCCTCGGCTCTCCCTCACCGCGCAGCAGCCCGCCCCGCACATACCCCCGAGGCTCGGCTTTCCCTCTCCGTGGAGAGCCCTCGGCTCCCCTCCCACGACCGACCATCGCACCCTCCGGCCGGGCCCGGCTCCACCTCACCCTTCCCCTCCCTGCGGGGCCACGAGGGAACCGAGTTCTATCTTCCTTTTTTGGGGTTGTTTAGCCGTGTAGGCAGTTGTAGCCAATGCTGGAATAGCTATTTTACCTGGTGCACTATTCGCCATTGCCGCTTGCTCTCCCCTTCTGCCGGCGGCACAGGAACGTGCATATGCAGTAGAACAGCCAATAGGAACGCAGTGGTCTGAGCTGACCTTTGATTGGTTGATGCACATCGGCATGATACTGATTCTTTACAGGCTGAACACAGAGCCATGGTGAGGTGCAGAAACCTATTGTTTGTCTCAGACCACTTGATTTTCATTATGCTTAGAGGATATTATAAAATTTTTACTCAATTATACCAAAATAATGTTGCCTACTGGAGCTTTAACCACCAATAGCTAATCAATTTATCCTTATGTCCAACTTAATGTTTGTGCCAAATTTTTAAGAAATTCCCTCAAAGTTATCTTGAAATACTGTATTCATGAGAATGAGATAGACGAGGTCACAGTGACCTTGACCTTTAATCTTCAACTACCGAAAACAAACTACTTCATTGTTGAGTCCAAGTGGACATTTGTGCCAAATTTGAAGAAATTCCCTAAAGGCACTTTTGAGATATCCCATCGACAAGAATGATATGGACGTTCCGGCAGTAACCCAGAAAACATAATGTCTCTGCCCAGCACTATCTCCACTGTGGGGGCATAATAAAACAGACAGAGGGAAGACTCTCTGCAGATAGCATCGCTTCACATTAAGAGTGGGTCATTATTAAGAATTAAGAGGGATTACTTTTTATGAGTCAACACATTGTTTATAAGGAAAATCCAGCATGGTGAATCTTAATACAAGGTTAGTTTGCTCTTGGCTTCCTATTATATTTAATTTAGGTTAAATATTTAAAAAGTTTGAGCAACAAAGTACACCTTGCTCAGGAAGATAAGTGAAATCATGCCCTTTTGATGGTCAGTTTTCCAGTTCACTTGACTACAAGTCTGTGACAGTGGTTATCTCCAGGTAGGAGGAGAAAGGGTGGGGATGGGGCTCAACAGAGCAACAAAAAGAAAAAGGGCAGAGAACTACTGAAAAAGAAAACTAACAAACTTCTTACAAACACTATGTTTTGTCTTTGATGGCCATCATCCCATGTCATGATTCTTCCCCCTAACTGTGAGGACGAGTGACTGTATATTATTTTGGCATGGACAATGCATCTCAATCTCTCTCTCTCCCTCGGCTCCCCTCCCTCGGCTGCATTGCTCACCTGTGAAGCCATCTCTTGTAGTAGGTGGGCAGGACAGCATCTGGGCCTCCTTGTTGGAAGCTGTTGATAAGAACCTCCAGGCAGCTGACAGTTCGAGCAATGAGCTGGGCACAGCTGAGCGGCTGCAGGTTGCAGTTATGCTGCACATTGTACTGCTGGATCAGGTCATTAATGCACACTGTTGGGTTGCTGTTTGTGACATTGAACCCACAGCCTGTAGGGCACATTAAGATTAAGAAATAATACTATGTTATTCTGTGCAAATAACAAGAGACTGTATTTCACTGGTTGCTGCTGGATAATGTATAACAAAAGACTGTATTATTTCTATTGGTGACTAATTATATATCCCAGTCCTTAACATTATGAATACAATAGGTGTCATGTGACAGCACACTGAATAATTGACAGCATAACTGTTCCAGTAGTGGTGTGCTAGTCAAATCGTGGGAAGGAAGGGTACATATTAATATAGGACTGAACTAGAACTACCGTCTTAGTGGTTGTATGCCTCTGCAAACCAGTTAATTTGCAGTAACAGTTTACATCCATGTCTGAGAAAATGGATGCTTCACACACATCTTACCCCCAACAGCACAGAAGATCTATACAATCAGCTCAGTTTCAAGGTGGACACCCAAGGTTAGGGTCACCAATTCAGTATCTGACCAAATGTCTCCCCTTCTGTTCTTGAGTTATGACATTGAATAATGCCCGAAAAGTGTTTTTGCAGACCATTATGATGTCACAGTGAAGTTGACCTTTGACCTTTCACATGTATAATGTCATCACTTCATCATCACAACCAGATGCAAAAAATAATTTCATGTCAGGTAGGTTTTCAGTTACAAGGAATTTGCTTTGGTTTTTTGGTGCATACATAAAAACATAAAATAAACATATTAAAAGTAACAAAAACAAGGCAAAGCACTGCAACACTCCAGAACATAAATATTGGGGCTGTACCCAAATACTCGGATATTCGAATATTCATTTCTATGGGTAGGTATTCGTTATGAAAATTTGGTGTTTGATATTCGTTTTTTTTATTTACTTTTTTTTTTTTTTTTTTTACATATTTTTTGGTGCTAAATGTAGTCTTTTTGTTGTTGGTAAATGTAGGTTATCAATAAAAATCAAAACTTTTAAATTGCATTGTGAAAAATGTGAAAAAAAAAATATAGTATAGCCTACCAACTGAGCTTGTGTGCACGGCATGCTTGAGCGCATCAGTCTGAGGCTGTGGATCAATGCCAAGTTTTACTACTTTATCACTATTCCCTCTAACTTGTAGCTGTTTTTTCGTTATCTTGAATTTAATATGAATTATGGAACCGTTTTTGTCAACGTTTGTTTCCCCCGTTTTGTACAATAAATTATTGTTTAAAGTTTCAACAAGTTTCTTTTGGAGTGCATGACACAAGTGTGTTTTGAAAACGACCGCGGACTGTCACCTGCTCAACGCATCAGTACCTTCGGATGCCATGACAGTAATAGATTATAGATTAATAGATTATAATGATAATGTCAAAATACCATTTACAGACCGATTTAACAGATGCTCACTGCTGCCCGACCTGCAGGTCCATTTGCGGGTCCCGCAGGTTACGGGTCGACCCGCACATCACTACTCAGCTCAGTCTATAAAGGCTGTACACAACAGTAGGCTATAGACATTATATTCTATTCAGGCCGGCAGAACCAGCAGCGCATCGGCTCTACAGTGCACGGCACTGCTGATTAACCATTTTATTGCAGCACAAAGTGTCTGCCAGCAACCAATTACTTGCAGAGGCTTCCTACAACTTGTTTCAGCGGTTCCGATTTAATCAGAAGACAAATTAAACAGGATGACTAGCCAATGTGAAAATTGAAAAAGAAAGCATAGAATAATGTACTTTTTTTGTGGTTTGAGAGCAAAGATCCGGTCGCCGCTGTGCAAAACTCCACAATACAATTAGGTCCGGAAAAAGGAGGTGGTCTGATGAAATCGAGGAGGCCCTGAAGGACTGCTTCGAGACCACTGTGTGGGAGGTACTCAGCGATTCCCATGGGGAGGACATTGACAGTCTGACATCATGTATTACGGACTACATAAACTTCTGTGTGGAAAGCACCATATCCACCTGGACTGTACGCTGCTTCTCCAACACCAATCCCTGGATTACTCCAGATATGAAAGCTCTCCTGAAGGAGAAGCGGAGATTTTTTAACCAAGGAACCAAGGAGGAGCTGAAGGCTGTGCAGAAGGAGCTACGGAGAAACATCAGATGGGGAAAGGAAGGATTCAAAAAGAAGATGGAGGAACAGCTGCAGCAGAGCAATGTCAGCGGAGTCTGGAGAGGTCTGAAAACCATCTCGGGACACAAACAACCAGACTCCCAGGCCAGAGGCGACCAGAAGTGGGTGAATGATCTGAATCTGTTCTTCAATAGATTTGATCAGTCTGCCACTCCCCTGGCCCAGACATCACAGCTGCAACCCCCCACATCCTCACCTTCACCTTCCCCCCCACCTACACTCCTGGCACACTGCTTCAACACCTCCCCCACCCCTGCTCCCCCGGACATCTCACCAGCCCCCACTCCTCCCCCCACCTCATCACCTCCACCCCCACGCACACAGCCCCCCTGCTCCAGCTTGTCCTTCACTACCTGTCAGGTGAGAGATCAGCTGAGGAGGATTAAGGCCCCGTTTATACGACAGCGGTTTCTCTAAAAACATAAAAGTCTGTCCTTTGCATTTTAAAAAACTTCTGCGTTTATATGGCGACGTTATTGAAACGATCTCCGTTCACACGGAGCTGCAAAATCTACTGGAAACGCTGTAGCATGTGCAGATAACTTTGTCTGGATGGATGACGAGGTGGAGTTGCTACAGTAACAGATATACACTTCACTTCAAATCAACAGGGTGAGCAGCACAAACAGAGCTCGGCATTGTTGTTGTGACGGTCGGCGTGCCTAGTGACTGGAACCGTAATGCGCATGTGTGAAAAGTCTCCGTTTTCAGAGGGACTGCATATTGCAAGTTTACATGACAATGGAGACGCTGCCGTTTCCAAAAAGTTGCACTCTGGAACCCGTTTTCAAAACGTTGCGTTTTCATGCACCCAAAACACCGCTGTCGTGTAAACGTTTGGCCAAAACGCAACTGAAGTTTACCGTTTTCAGCTGAAATTGTTGTCGTATAAACGGGTCCTAAGACAAGAAAGGCTGCAGGTCCAGACGGCATCAGCTCCAGGCTCTTGAAGTCCTGCGCAGACCAGCTGCGCGGGATAGTTGAAACCATCTTCAACCTGAGCCTGAGGCTGGGGAGAGTACCACAGCTGTAGAAGACATCCTGCGTGGTACCTGTGCCCAAGACTCTGCACCCCAAGGACTTCAGCAGCTTCAGACCGGTGGCATCAACATCGCACCTCATGAAGACTCTGGAGCGCCTGGTCCTGTCTCGTCTCCGCCCTGCAGTTGGCCCTTCAATGGACCCGCTGCAGTTTGCCTACCAGCCTGGCATTGGGGTGGATGTCGCCGTCATCTTCCTCCTGCATAGAGCTCTTTCTCACCTGGAGAAGCCTGGAAGCTCTATGAGAATCATGTTCTTTGACTTCTCCAGCGCTTTCAACACCATACAGCCTGCACTTCGGAGGGACAAACTGGAGCACATAGGGGTGGCTAATCACCTCACATCCTGGATCCTGGACTACATCACGGACCGGCCGCAGTATGTCAGGACCCAGGATTGTGTATCGGTACGGGGGTCCCTTCACCCTTTACACTGCAGACTTTTCATACTACACCCCCACCTGTCATCTGCAGAAGCTCTCCGACAACTGCCATAGTCGGCCTCATCACAGATGGAGACGACAGGGAGTACGGAGAACTGAACCAGGACTTTGTGGACTGGTGGCTGAGGAACCACCTTCAGATCAACGCTTGGAAAACCAAAGAGCTGATGGTGGATTTCTGCAGGCGTAGACTCCTTCCCCCAACACCTGTTAACATCCAGGGAAAGGACATTGAGATGGTGACATCTTATAAGTACTTGGGTGTTCATCTTAACAATAAACTGGACTGGACTTATCATATATCAGCACTTTACATGAAAGGCCAAAGCAGACTCTACCTGCTGAGGTGGCTCAGGTCTTTTGGAGTGCAGGGGGCACTCATCAGCCATCTTTTACGGAGTGGTCTGCTGGGGCAGCAGCATTAGGCTGCAGATAGGAAGAGACTGGACAAGCTGATCATGATGGCCAGCTCTGTCCTGGGATGCTCTCTGGACTCTGTGCAGGTGGTGGGAGAAAGGAGGATGACAGCCAAGCTGTCATCTCTGAGGACAAACGACTCCCACCCCCTGCAGGAGGAGATAAAAGCTCTGGAGAGCTCCTTTAGCGATAGACTGATTCACCCAAAGTGTGTGGTTTAGCCAAAAACATGTTTTGTGAGGCCACAGTGACCTGGACCTTTGAACACCAAATTCTAATCAGTTTATTGTTGAGTCCAAGTTGAAGTTTGTGCCAAAATTGGGGAAATTCACTCAAGGCATTCTTGAGATATAATGTTTACAAGATCATTCTTATTGACAGACTCAAAATCAAAATGACCTTGACCTTTGACCTGCGACCACCAAAATGACATCATTGCTGTGTCCAAGTTGACAGTTGTGCCAATTTGAAAAAAAAAAATTGAGATATTACATTCACAAGAATGAGACGGACTCAAGGTCAAAGTGACCTTGACCTTTGACCTACAACCACTAAGTTCTGACCAGTTTATTGTTGAGTCCAAAAATTTGTTGTGCCTCATTTGAAGAAATCACTTCAAGGTGTTCTTGAGATATTGTGTCACGAGAAAAGGATGGACAGACGGACAACCCGAAAACATAATGCCTCTAGCCATAGCTATTACCGGCACCCAGGCATAAAAAGGGAAGCGCCAGTGAAAGCCTCCAGTGTCATTACTGTGATAAAGGGGAGGTTATTACCTATGAGCAGATGAAAGGTTGATCCTATCACAGTGGAAGTCACCAGCACTCCCCCAAGCTTCATCAGGCTACTGTAATAGATGTCGTTGGGCCATTTCACCCTCAGGTCTATGTCCTGTTAAAGGTTGAAATATGTTCAAACATCTTCACTCATTAACATAGGACATTTTCCTTTAATACAGAAATGCACTGATCTTAAATATGCCATCACTTTATGATACAATATGATATTTTGCTACTAGAGACAACTATATTCATATCTGGGATGTATTCAGATGTATAGTATATTGGCAAACCACAGAGGATATGCAGGTCAATGCAGTCTGATCTTAGTGTTGAATAAACTTGTATAGAGAGGTGTGTAGGCTGATACCTGGTATCCAGGAAGTGTGCGAACAGCCTCCACCACTGCCAGAGCAGCCAGATGCTGCATGAAGGGAATCCTCTGTCCAAGCCTGGAACTTAGCTCAACCTGGACCATCAAAGAGAACATGGCACAACCCAAAGGGCTGAGCCAGGCATTCCTGCCCCGACCTGCAGCAGCAGCAAACACAGTACACATACAAGGGGAGATACCTCTGACAAGTAGAATGAATTAAATCAAAACAAAATATTAATGCTAAACTGAAATGTTCCTATGTTCATACAATTGCAGTGTGTGTGAATGCTGTGTGTGCAGGTGTACAGAGTACTGGAGAGAGCACTGACCTCTACCCTGGCTTTGTCGAGAAGCTACCGCTATCAAACCAACATCCTTTGGTAAGTGCAGAGTCAGCCTGAAGGGAGACAAGAATGATGAACACAGATATGTTAAAACTTTCTCAAAAGTGCCTTAAAGGGATAGTTCAACATTTTGGCAAATTCGCCTATTGCCATAATCCCTATAGTCATATGAGTAGGTACATTACCTTTAATTGTCAGTGCGTGCTGTTCTGAGATCGGTGGGACAGAGCTGCCCGCTGAAATGGAGGTGAACGGTACAGGTCCCTCTCTCCCTCAACACTAATCAAATACACCATCAAATGACTCCAAAACGCTCTAGTGGAAAACACATGGCTTGCACATTCCCCCTGCTATGAAATAATAATGTATAATTAAGTAACATTACGACACATGAAGCAAATACTCGGAACTACTTTCTTGAGTAAACCACTGGGCGGAGTGACACAGTGCGCAGCTGAGACAGTGCCGTTGTTATTGCTTGTAGCCATTTGCGGTATCGTCAGCTGGACACACCAGAAGGTTTGAGGAAAGTTTACAAGTGTTTTTGTAAATCATGGTTTACACATGCATTGTAAAAGGTTGCAGTAACAAGCCGAAGACATGGAGCAAAGCGAAGTTTCACGTAGTTCCAACCAGTAATACGGACAGGATGAAACAATGGCTATTTGTGCTGGACATCGACCCCAACACGCCTGTGGAAATGGTCCGGAGAATGTTTGTGTGCTCCTGCCATTTTTTTACCGGAGGACTACAGTGAAAGGATGGAGTGCAGAAGCTCAGGAATGGTTCAAACGCTTTTCCTGAAAGACACTGTCATACCATCTGTCGGCATCACTAAATGAGCAGACGTGGTAAGTGATCGTTGTGTATTTTGCTCAGCAATCTCTCTGCTGTAACGTTACCTCCATGTTGAGTAACATTAGCCTACAACCCAAGCATGGTAAACAAGGCTAAAATGAAAATGTTGTTGTGGTTATGTTATGGATAAGTGCTTGCCCAGAGCATATAGTGAAGTGACTGGCATTACTTCTCATTGTTGGGAATAAACAGACTGCTAGGGAACATTTTATGTTGTTGTTCCCTCAGGAGTTGTGGTGATTTATGAGTGTGGAGTTAGCATGTTCTCCCCGTGTTCCGGTGATTATTTTGAGGCGTATTCTATATTTATATTGCACCGGTGTACCTAATAAAGTGGCCAGTAAGCCCCACGTTTACACCACTGGCTCTGGGTCTCCCCGCAGCCCCTGGTTGCTCGGCAGCCTCAACCTCTCTGCTTGCTCTCTCTTCTTCCAAAACCTGTAACTCTTCCTCTGTATATTCTGGCTTCTTCTCAACAAACTTGTTGTTTTGATGATGGGAGTAACTGCAGTAAACATACGCTGTTTGAAATCACTCCGCCCAGCAAGTACTGTATGTCTGGAATGTAGTTCTGGCTCTGCATTTGGCTTCAAAACAACTCTGTCTCGTAATATTACATTATTATTTCATAGCATGGTGAATGAGTAAGCTACAAGTTGTTCTCAAGAGCGTTTTGGAGTCATTTGATGGTGTATTTGATTAGTTTTGAGGGAGAGAGGGACCTGTACCGTTCACCTCCATTTCAGCGGGCAGCTCTGCCCCACCAATCTCAGAACAGCACGCACTGACAATTAAAGGTAATGTACCTACTCATATGACTATAGGGATTACGGCAATAGGCAAATTTGCCAAAATGTCGAACTATCCCTTTAAAGGCAGTCCTAGTTTGGCCTTATTCCAACTGTTGCCCTTACTGACAAAATTCATATGTTTATATAGCCACAAGTGGCAATTCTGCGGTTCAAGCCATTGTCTCCCACTATTGGTAGATTGCAGGGGGAGATGAATGACAAGCTTAATTATATAGCCTAAATTTACACAATGTCTATGCACTTGTTTGGAACTGGTGACGCCCTCTGTTGAGTGATTTCAAAATAATTTTACAGACTTGGTTTAGACATTGTTATAAAACACATCCTACAAATGTTGTTATGACCGGATGAAAAATTTTGGATTTTTAGTCTGATTTATGTTATGCCATGTCCATTTTTTTTGCATTTGTGGCACCCCCTAGTGATCAGTTTGAATGACACTTGCAGGGAATGGTTCAGGTACTTCTGTGGACACATTCTACAAGTTTTGTAATGACTGGCCCAGGTGATTTGGTGTTTAGTCCATTTAAGTGCTAAACAGTAGTGTTGTTTTTTGGCGGCCTGTTTTAATTTTAGTTTTAGTCTAGTCTTTGTGTCAAACTGTCATTTTAGTTTTTATTAGTTTTAGTCACGTTCATACTCTTTTTGTCTAGTCAAGTTTCAGTCAACTAAAAGTCTGAGCATTTTAATCTTATTTTAGTCAGAATAATCCATGACTATTTTCGTCTTGTTTTAGTCGACGAAAACTGATGACACTTTAGTCTAGTTTTAGTCAATGAAAATTGTATTTTAGTCTCTTTTTTGTAATGCAATTCTATTATACCCAGTCAATGTAGTATAAGTACCTAGTATAGTATAACCAAACCAAAATTTTCTTTTCTAAATTAGTTCCCAGTTAGAGCTAAATATATATTTATTTATACAACAGTTAGTTCCAACCGAGTAATTTTATTGGATGAGAGGCATTCCGTGAGTGCTGATATAGAGTATAACATCACTGGGACATGTAACAGTAAAATCACTCCGCTCACAGGTGTTATAAATATGAATACAGCCATTAATTAACCAACTGTCACACTCGCTACATTGACGCAAACTGACACTATAGCTGAAGCGAACACGGTCAGGAATTATCAGTGATCATCTGATGAGGTACTGATGAGGATGAGAGAGAGTGGAAGCTGAATCGGGCCATGCCAACATCCAGATTTGCCAACGTTTCATCAGCTGAACTGGACGAAGTTACACAGCTGCAGATCAATGTAAATACAAAGTAACTTGTGAGTTCCTGGTGTGTGTGCCGCGTTGCCTGGCAACAGACTGGGGGAACTGTTTTTTTTTTTCGTGGAGCTACATAACATACTTAAATAATTTATTTCATCACCTTTTGTTAACATTTCCTTACTCAGCCTAGGTAACAGAAATACTGCAGAATAATAATAATGACGCGACTAAACATTATAACGTTATTTTGTCTCGTCTCGTTTTGGTCAACGAAAATGAAGAGACATTTTAGCAGAGGTTTTATTTTGTAAACCACATTTAGTCTCATTTTTATTCGTCAACAAGACTGCATTATATATTTAATTATAGTTATCGTCACATGACCACCATTTACATTGCGTCTCGTCTCGTTTGTGTCATGTGATAAAGGTTCATTGATGACGATATTTAGTCATACTTTTCGTTGACGAAAGCAACACTACTAAGCAATGCCCGTTTCAAAGTTCATTTTTAAATATCTTTAAAACGCAGTAAGATAACAATACGATTTTGATAACTATTAATAGGCTTGGTCCAATAATGATCTGAAGAAAATGTGGTATGAACTTGACCTATGGTTTCGGAGGATATGTCAAAAATGTGCAATTCAAAAAAATTGGGTGGTGGTGCCCCCTATTGACCAATTTCAAAATAAAGCATGTGGTTCAATATCATCATGAAACATACCCTGCAAGCCTTGTAAGGATTGGACAAACAGTTTCTGATTTATATTTTGATTTGTGTTATGCCCCGCCCATTTTATGCAGCCCCCTAGTGGTCTATCACACCTTTTAGTGAATGTTCAATGTTTTAGTGAAGGTACTTCTGTGGACATATACTGGAAGTTTCATGATGATTGGCCCAGTGGTTGTGGAGGTAGATCTATTTACATGCTGAGCCACACCCCTTTTAAAGGTCATTGGTGAATATTTTCAAAATGCAATGAGATACCAAAATGAATTTTGAAATACATGTGGTTCAACATTGTTATGGAATACATCCTGTAAGTTTTCTAATGACTGGGCAAAGAATGTCTGATTAATAGTCTGATTTATGTTACGGTACACACATTTTTTGCTTTTGTAGCGCCCCCTAGTAGTCAATTTGAAATAAATTTTTAGGGTATGTTTCGGGGACTTCTGTGGACACATTGTACAAGTCTCCTGATGTTTGGCAAAACAGTTTTGTGGAGTTAGGTCTATTTTATGTGCTGAGCCAAGGTGCTTTTGAAGTTCATTAGTCAAAAGAGACATTAACAAGCTTTTGATAACTTGATAGGTTGGTCCAAAAAGATCCACAGAATATGTGACACAAATTGTACCTAAGGTTTAGGAAAAGATGTAAAAAAAAAAAAAAAAAATCAAAATGGCATTGGAACACCCCCTAATGCCTACTTTCAAAATAATTTTACACATGGTTCAACATTGTTATTTAACTCCAGTTTTTGTCATGACTAGTCAATAGGCTTGTGCCGGTTTGAAAATTTTCCAACCGGTTTGATTTAAAGCCAAATATCTAACCGAACCGATATATCGAATTATATACCTAATTTTACCACTGGGGGTCACATTTGAGCTATTTTTCCCAACAAAAGCCCATTATAGGTTTAATGCGCTTCCAATCCACTAGGTGGCGGTAATGCTGTATTAACCGCCAATACACACAAGGTTACACAAGAAGAAGAAGACGCAGAAGGACACCAAAGAACCTTCCTCCGACTCCGCTCTCTCAGTGGAGACACGGCAGTTCAGAGGGCCGAGCGAGAGGATGTTGCTGTAGTAGTTCCAGCCCCCCAAATAGTACCAGGAACTTCTTCAGTGGAAACTGGTTACTAGGGCAACAAACTGAATGACTGCTGACTCCCTCGCACTTTTCCCCGCCCCTAATGAAATTTGATCTCTAGCAGCAGCAGCAGCAGCAGACAGCTGAGCGGAGCTGCAGAGTCCCTCTGAAGCCTCTGAGACAAACTAAACAAAACACTTGTAGGCTTCATTCATTTATAAACAAACATAAACCTTATTAAGTTGTCATAATGCATGTTACAATGCAAGATAAGTTGAATATAGTTGACACGCTGCCAATGTGAAAAGCTTTTTTTTTTTTTTTCCCCTCCTCCGGTT